AAATGCTTATGTGCTATATATATAAGTGTATGGTCCGCAAATATTTGATTTTGCAGTGTTTTAAAATGTCAGAGATATCATTTATATAAATAATAAATAGTAACGGCCCTAATTTACTCCCATATGGCACCCCAACTGATATACTTTGAACATAATAATAACATAATATTTCCAACTTTAGTTTTTTGACTTCTATTTACTAAATCGTTTTAAATTTTTTTAATTTGTAGTGGGATTTCAAAATAAATTGCACATTATCATTGTCAATTTTTCTCCGTTACAAGATGGCATAAATAGCAGTTCAATATGAAGTTTCGTCTGCTGTCCTCCAGCATAAACCTTATTTCTTATTAGAGCCGCCATATTGGACTTTGCAATAGTATTTTAATGTTTTGTTAATGTTCAATTTATTCTGAAATTCCGCTACAAAGTCAGAAAAAAATTAAAATTCTTTGTAACGCCCTGAAGAAATTACATTTTTTTCAGAATGTCGGTAACTTTATAACAGCAAACTACAGGGTGATTCAAAAGTCGTGACCAAAAATGAAACAGGACCGCATTATGAGGAGGGTCTTCTATGTAACATTTTTCTCAAGGGCTTCATTAAAACGATACGGCTTGTAGAGGGTTAAAAATGAAAAACAACAATATTCAAAACCGTCAACTAAAAAAAAAATAAAATTCTAAAATTTGGTATGTGAATTTACCTAAGTATTGTAAATTTCGAAAAACCGCGCGTTTCGAAAAAAAAATTGTGGCGCACTATTTTTATTTGGTAAAATAATGCCATATCTCCGCCACTAGTGCACGTTAATTTAAAGTAAAGACAACAATACTTAGGTAACTGGACATACCAAATTTTAGTTCATTCCAGTTGACGGTTTTGGAAATATTAAAAAAATTGTATTTTATTTTTAAATTTCAATTCTTCTTTTCAAGGAAGGCCTCGAGGAAAAAATGTTAAATAAAAGACTCCCTTCAAAGTGCGGTCCTGTGTATGATGTTTCATTTTTGGTCACGACTTGTGTATGTTTCTTCAGACACCTAGTCCAAATAATTACAAGGCATTTATATAAACGGATAATCAGACGAACAATATTCGTCGACAAGGTATGCGATATCAAACAATAGTCAAACCGAAACACCTCGCCACCACTGCGGTCGATTCAGAAATACGCTCTTTTTGTTAGCGGCGTAATAACATCTGTAATTGATGCTTAGCGATATTGGAGTAGTAGAGCTTTTTAAGTTTCTTTTTCCAAAAAAACGTTCGCCGCTTCGACCGTGAGTGTGCGTTACCGGCCTTCTTTGCTCTCGAATAAATTTCAAATTTAAATGCCGGCTCTCCGCAGTCCCGCTGATATAAATCGTAATTAATGCGAATTTTTTAATCGCTACATTATTTACTGTATATACTGCCGTGATATGCCGCTACAAGAGGACCGTATGGATATGGATATGCATATCGCGTTACGGTATCACGGCGGGAGGGTGATGGCGTTTTAATCGTAGGTTAGATCGTTAAATGCCCACTAAAAACAGACAATTTTATTGGATCCTACTGCCATTAAAAAACAAAGCTCATAGTTGGATTTTTATGAAAATTATCACAACTACACCATGTACAAAGGCCAGCTGAGAGACACTTTTTTATTGCGTGAAAAATCGTAATCTTAGAATTCTTGGTAGTTTAATAACAACACAGCGCTCCAGATCCGTGAGACATTCCTATTGATCAGAAGACGTTTAGAGTTCACCTTCCGGCACAAACACTATCCCTAGGGAGCGTGAAAATTGTGTTTTGAATACTGCCTTGCGCATGGTTCCACGCTGAGTCCAAATTTGTAGTCAAAAAGGTCTCTAGACCCCATAGAGTTCGCCTCTGGGCTCAAAGAAGTACCCCCAGAAAGCGTGAAAATTCTGTGCCGGATTCTAGATGCATGGTATACCTATGTTTTTCGACGCCGAATCTGCTCAATTACCACTGCATTGTTCCATGCTGAGTTCAAATTCTGTAGTAAAAAAGTCCATCGCCCCTAGAGTTCACCTCTCGGCTCAAAAAGGTACCCCTAGAAAGCGTGAAAGTTGAGTGCCGGATGCTAGATCCTGGAGCTGAATCTCCCCAATTTCCTTTGCATTGTTCGACGCTGAGTTCAAATTTTGTAGTAAAAAAAATCCATTGGCCCCTAGAGTTCGCTTCTAGACTCAAAAAGTACCTCTAGGAAGCGCGAAAATTGAGATTCGGATGCTGGATGCTGGAGCATGGCATTCCCTTGCATTAATCCACCATGAGCCCAAATTTGTGGTAAAAAATATACCCACGCCATTACAGTTCACCCCTGGGCTCAAAAAAAACCCCGAAAGTGTGAATATTGAGCTTCGGTTGCTAGGTGCTATTCCCTTACATTATTCCACGCTGAGTCCAAATTTGGAGTAAAAAAGGTCTGTAGGCCCCTAGAGTTCGCCCCTGGGCTCACAAAAGTACCCCTGGAAAGCGTTAAAGTTCAGTGTTGGATGCTAGACGCTGGCGCATGGTATACCTGTGTATTTTTCGACGCCGAATCTGCTCAATTTCCACTGCATTGTTCCATGCTGAGTTCAAATTCTGTAGTCAAAAAGGTCCACTGGCCCCTAGAGTTCACCTCTGGGCTCAAAAAGTACCCACAGGAAGCGAAAATTATTAATTATTATTCCCTTGCATTGATCCACGCTGAGACGAAATTTGTAGTCAACAACGTCTCTAGGCCCCTAGAGTTCGCCACTGGGCTCAAAAAAGTACCCCTAGAAAGCTTGAAAGTTCAGTGCCGGATGCTAGATACTGGAGGATGGTATACCTATGTAATTTTCGACGCTGAATCTCTCAAATTTCCACTGCTGAGTACAAACTTTGTACTAAAAAAAATCTATTGGCCCCTCGAGTTCGACCCTGGGCTCAAAAAGTAAGCCTAGAAAGCGTGACAACTGAGTCTCGGATGCTAGATGCTGGAGAATGGTTTCCTTTGCATTGTTACACGCTGAGTCCAAATTTGCAGTCAAAAAGATTACTAGACCCCTAGAGTTTGCCCCTGGGTTCAAAAAGTGCCCCTAGAAAACGTGAACATTATGTTTCGGATGCTAGATGCTAGAGCATGGTATTCCTATGTATTTTTCAATGCTGTATCGAAATTTTTAGTCAGAAACGTCCCTAGGCCCCTAGGAGAACATCTGGCAACCTTTATCAGGGTTAGTGTATTATTAATTGAAAATCTTGGGAACTGGTGGTAACATAAAACAGAAGTGCATTATTTGAGATTGTTCAAAAACTTCTAGATGTTATTATATCTACGACAATTTACGTTGATAATTTAAAACTGAAACATCCATGTGATTAAAAAACCTCATCCAGTTCCAGAATATTACAAGTAGGGATTGAATCGCCAATTCATTTAAAAGTTACGACCCATTACTTTCGTCGCTCTCTCCCATACTATGCACCTGACACCGCTGTAGACCACATCTCTGTACTGTAGACAAGCAATGCTTCACTGGTTCTCTTCTATTATGTGACGTTGCGTGTATGAGCTTATGCGCGGTCTTTCAGTAATTTCACGTGACGTGACCCGCCTGATTCCCACGACATCTTGCATATGGCAGAGATGCTATGGCGAACTCACTGCCGTCTAGATCTGCATACACATACAGGCCTGATGATTTCGATCGATTGACCTAGCAATAACGGACGCATCTTCTATTCGCACAGTCCGCAAATAAATCGTAAGATGATACGTAAAATGTGTATTATAGCAGATCATAAAGATGGTAGTGAATATACCATAAAATATCTTTATTACAGGTGATACAATTCCAATGCCAAGGCATCTATGTTCTAGAACAGAGTTCCCCAAACTTTTTTGTGTCGTAGACCCGTTGCCATGTTTTTCCGTGTGGGGTAGACCCCCTACTTACCTGATATTGATTTCCTGTAAATTTCTAACTGTAGTGAAGTTTAGTGTTAAAAACTTAAAGTAAAAACACATGTTAATTTATTCATTTATTAATTGAATTTAAATTAAAACTACTCAAAATAAAATTTTGCATCTGTTATGTAAAATATACGTAACATTAAATAAACAGGTGTCTGACCAATAAGTGTCCGCAATGGGAATTGAAAAAAAAAATAAGAGGAATAAATTATAAAAAAAAGTGAAAAAAAATAAAAAAAAAGTTTTTACTTAAAATAGTACAATAAGCGAGTTCGTTTATTAATTATAACATAAACGTATGTTCTACAATAATTTCACTGTTAGTTTGATTAAATTCCGCTTCTTATACGTTTAAGTTATCTAAAAATAGGCAAAAAATTAACGAACTTTAATGTGTACCTATTCTTGAATTTTCAGAATAATTTAAAAAAAATCTTTTCTTTAAAAAAATCAATGCGGGCACTTATTCCCAATGCGGGCATTTATTGGTCAGACACCAATAAACATAAAATAAACTATAAATAAAATAACATCAGCAATAAGTCAATATTTTTAGTGAGAAGGATGAAACTGATGCTTTAATAATAAATTATCAACATTAGGCGTCAATTTTGTAAGGGTTAATCTTAAATCTCCTCGGCTAATGATGTCCAGTCTGTTTCTTTTTTCGTTAGGACATTGATAACAGCGCTGAACCCCCTGTCCACTAGGTATGACGATGGAAAGGAAATTAAAAATTTCCTCGCTATATTCCATAATACAGGATAAGTAACGGGTATGTTGTTTTGCAGCCAGAATTGCTGATATCCGTTTTTAAACTGAACCTTAAGTTCTTCGTTTGTACTTAGTTCAGTCAGTTCCTCTTGTATTATGACATTCGTTTCTTCTATGTCACCATATGGATTAATTATCCACGGTGGTATTTACCACAGTCAAAATATCCTCAAACCTAGATTCAAAATCTGAATAGAGGGCATTTAAATGTTGAACGTAAGTTGAAACGTCGTCTTCCTGGCAGCTTGTCTGTGACAAATTGGGGAACTGAGAAGATTCGCCCCGTCCAATATTTTGCTTAATTAGTTTAACTCTGGCAAGAAACGCTGATAAGATGGATGTTTTAATCAAATTTAAACTGTCGCCTTGTAATTGCAAATATAACCATATTAAAGGTTGTAAACAAATCTGTTAAATAGGCGATGTCTGTTTTCCTCTTCATTAAATTTTCTTTTAAAATTTTATCTTTAGTATCCAGAAATTCTAAAATAGTCTCAAAAAGTGCAAAAAATCTTGTCAAACATAAGCATTTTGACAGCCAGCGTACTTCAGTGTGAAGGAGGAATTGATGAAGGTGTTCGTCATTTTCTTCACACAACTGCGCAAATAACCGCGTATTCAACGCGTTGCTTCGGATTCGGTTTACTGCATCAATGACTAAATGAAGTGATTCATGCAATCTAACGCTCAAATTTTTAGCAACTAAATGTTGTCGATGGATGACGCAATGTATTGCTAACACCCCTGACACATTTTGTTTTAAATAGCTTATAAATCCACGATAACGTCCAACCATGGCAGGTGCTCCATCTGTAGCTACTGATATTATAATTGATAAAGAAATTGCTTTTTCAATGAAGTAATCCTTCAAAACATGAATCATTGATTCACCTTTAGTGTCGGTTATCAAAGTTCTTGCGAAGAGCAGTTCTTCGTAGATTTCTTGATTCATAATAAAACATATGCCAATAATAATGCTGCATTATCAGGTAAAGTTGACTCGTCCAGTAGTATAGAGAAATGGGTCGTTTGCAAATAATTACATAAGAAGCTTTCAATATCAGAACGCATTTCATCAATACGTCTTTTAACAGTATTGTTGCTTAAGGGAATTCTTTTAATGATATCAGATGCAGGTTTGTGTAAAACAGTTTTGAACACCTCTTCAACGGCTGGCAAAATTAACTTCTCTCCGATAGTATGCGGTTTTCCAGATTTTGCTATAAGTTAACGAGATATTGTAAGACGCCCGCAAACCATCATCATTTCTTTGTGACGTCGAAGCGAACATTCTGTCCAGTGTAGGTCTCTTCTGAAATTTATCTTTGAGTGTTTGAAAGTATGTCAAATCTTTCTCTGTTTTATCAGATGATCTTGCAGTTTAGATGGTTTCATAGTGTCATTGCCCAAAACTTTGTTTCATAAAAGGCACATAGGCGATTGTTTGTCCGGCAATGATGGAATGAAGCCAAATTTCAAATAATCAACACTGTACTGTCTTCATTTCTTTTTAGATTCGGACATGGCATCAGTCATCTGTGGCCAAAATTAAATTATTCAAATAAGATAGAAAATCCAGCAGCTGTATAATAAAAATATTTTTTGATTTTTCCGAAAACATTCCACAATTCGAACATCTTCTTGCACCAATTAGCTCGAATTACGGAGATTGCACTGTAATTATATTACCGATTGCTAAAACTTCCAAAAAGAAACTATTGAGGAGTACTCGTGTAATTTTGCATGATTGAATATTTAACTACTAATAACTAAAGTCATGATTGGCGTAATTTATCTATCTTTGCTAGCTACGAGTACAAAACTAAAATTTAATAAAAAATAATGTACTTACTTTTCTCCAGCACTCTCAAACAAAATAACACTGACTCACTATAATTTGTATGATATACTATCTGTTTATATCAATTAAAATATTTTCTTAGCACTTTCCTTTTCAAGATTCAGGAAACGAATAAACGTATTTGTCCCACATTCGTATTTATAGAGTGACGATTTGAACAAGTCAGTGCAAGGTAGCGAAGCTCTGAGACTGCGACTTTCAGGTTTTTACAAGTTCAAAATGTATTGCGACCACAAAGCGAATACCAACATCCTACAACTTACACAATTTTATAAACATATATAATACATTTTTTACTTCATAGGTACTTTTATAAATAATGTATATGTTTTGATATTATAAGATAATACGATGTAAGTAAATAGGTACTATCAGTGTATGTGTTGAGATCCACTATCGTGGACCCCATATTCATTTCGTGGACCCCCAAATTTTTTTTCGCTGACGTAGACCCCTTGCAGGTTGTCATAGACCCCTAGGGGTCGATATAGACCACTTTGGGAATCAATCTTCTAGAATGGCTTAAACGGTTCCTATAAATATATATCCTGAATAAATCTGTTAGCAAGCCTCAGTATATTGAATTTATTTACGAAATCCATCAACATTGATATTTAAAGATGAATAAAAATAACAGAAAAAAAGTATATTAGTAGGGAGACCGACAATCGTCATTGAGATCGAAAACCAGTCGTCAGAAGATCAAGTTCTCTGGCTATACGCAATAACCCGTCAAAAATATCTGAACCTCAAAAAATACCTTATTTTTAACATGGTAAATAAAAGAACAATAGTAAAAGGCAAATGAGAAACATCCTGTATAGTACGTAAAACGACCTAACGGAATATAATCGAGACGTGCAATATTCGAAGTGATATGATTATAGACTACAATGAGTTTTCTCATGCGCCAACTGCAAGAGATATCTTACAACTAATATTACATGTACGTCCATATATGGCTCGCTGAAAATATGTATATGACTGGAATATGCATTCGATTTCCGAAGGGAACAAAATCACACATCTACATCCAAAACCAAAATAATTTCTACATATATTAATTATAGTATTAAAAACTGTGAATAAAAACATTAAAAAGATGTAGTATGCTTGGCACTGCCAATATGTTGGTCCTAGATATTGAAAAAGAAACCCTGTTTCTTCTACAAGCCTTGGATAATATTTATGAGCTTATTCGGCTGTTTTACAAATAATGACAGTTTAAAGACGTAATAGTTCATTATTACATAAAAAAGCTTACAGGCCATGATGATATTATGCAGATGAAGTAGCAAAATCCTCCGATACGACATCATTTTTAGTATACCAAGGTGTTTTCAAGGGCGGATATCTTCTTCGGGTCAAACTTGCAACCATTTTCAAATTCTCGCACCGTCTGCATTTCTATTCGCTTCCAGTGCCGATAGAGCGTGACTCCCATTCTCGATGCACCCATAACCATTATCGTAATTTTTTCTAATACATATTTAAAGTATCGCCTTGACATTCACAACGCGCTCTTCTTCAGGTGATGAAAGGAACTATTTTTTTTCTTTCGTTACGAGTAGTGATCCGAAGGATATCGCCATCGCGTCTTTATAATGACAATATAATTATGTTGAGATCGTGTTTATTTTAACGTTCGGAATTACGTGCGATCTGCGATTATTACTGAAACGCTGATAATAGGAAGAGCAATTTTATAAATCTTGCGTTGCGAACAAAGAAAAATGCAACTATGACTATTCCTGTGTGAAAATACAGAAGTCTGAATAGCGGAGCGCGGCGGCTGCCGTGAAGAGCTTAAAGACACTGCTAGGAAATTCAATTTCTTTATTTTCAATCGGGCACTTGATAGATAGCATTTAAATAATAATATTAATAATCGTCTTTATTACTTAAAAAAAGTTGGACACTTGAAAGCCTAATTGTACAGAAAAAACTGGCAATAGATGAATTTAGTCGCAATACAATGTAGTACAAAATAATACCGATACTTTTGTAAAAAGAAGAAGGGATAAAGTGCTTCATGTAAAAAACGGTATGTTATGAAGAAACGGTGAACTAATTCTCTATTTCTGTCTTTTGAGTGTTTTTTTTAAACTGCGAAAAGACTTAAAATCATGGCCTAAGCTGTTGTAACATTTAAACGCGTTGTAAGTAAAAGATCTTCTGCAAAGTGTTGTGTGATGTATTAGAATGGTTAAAGTATAACCGTTTGATAAGCCTTGTGCAAGTATTTTGCATTATATGCAAACGTTTTGCGTTAACAGACGTCAGAGAATGGTAGTAGATAGATAAATCATATGACTATATAAAGGATGTCCCAGAAGTCGACGTCAAGCCGAAACCGGGTGATAGGCAAAGTCATAACAGCTATCAGAAAAATATTTAAAAAAAATTTTATGTATGTGTTTTGAAAATTATAGGTCTTTGAAAAAAATGTAGAAATTTCACACCCTACGGCAGTCTGTCAACTCCTGTTACTACAAATATTAACTTTTTTTGGATTTTATTTTTACAATGTAATGATGAATAATGCATCTTCAAACTGGTGTCTCAACCTTACTGCCAACTTTTCTCGTTCAGGAAAAATTGCCACTTATTTCCCAACCAAGTAATCCAAAGTAAAACTTTGCTCAACTTTAACTGGCTGTACTGGAAAATAATGTACTACGAGAATTTGGCAAGTAACCTTAAAAGTTGGCGCATTTAATAACGATTCCAAAATGGTATAACACTTAGAAGATTACTCGTTAACTTATGAACAATTTTTATTTGAAGAAAAACTGATAAAAAATTTTCAAAATTTCCTAATTAAACAGCGATTATGAAAACGCACAAGGACCCTTAAGCATAACTGTTTGCACAACAGTGGGCGTCAAAATGCTGCTGATGATGATTTACCTTTACAGCAAATGCTCAAACTGTTTTCCTTCAGCCGCAATACACGCTCGACATCTTCTTAAAAAAGATCGGGTTATTAAACGAGCGAATCCACGGTTATTAACAAACTCAGCTGCTTCCAATAGTCTTTGCCGTAGCTCAGCTACATTTCGAATCGGCTTGAAATACACCTTTTCTTTTACAGTTCCCAGTAAAAAAAAATCTAACGGATTCAAATCTGGTGACCGGGCTGGCCACGGTATTGTACCAGACCGCCTTATCCATCTGCCTGGAAAGTTTTGATCGAGATACTCTCTCACTGAGAGTGCATAGTGCGCTGGGCAGCCCTCATGCTGAGACCACATGTCCCTGTAAATACTCAGTGGCACGTCCACCAATAAATTTTGTACATGATTTTTCAAAAAATCCAAATAAACTTCAGCAGTCAAAGTCTCTGGGAAAACAAACGGACCGATTATTTTACCATTTAAAATTCCTGTCCAATGGTTTATCTTGAAGCGATATTGAGATTTATCTTCTCTCATCAAATGTGGGTTTGCTACGTGCCACTCGTGTAAGTTATGCAGGTTCATGTATCCATCTTTTTTAAATGTGGTCTCATCTGACCATAAAATTTTTTCAAAGAACCGTGGATCTTCC